CTCTGTCAGCCTCTCCTGATACACCAGGTGCTGCAGCACCTCTGACTATCTCAGTGGCCTCCCCTGGACTCACCCTGGTGCATCCATGTCTCTCGCACTGTGGAGCCCCACCACCAACACAGTGCTCCAGACGTGGACTCCCAAGTGTCAGATCGGAGGGATCACTTCCCTCCATCACTGTCGCTACTACAGCCCAGGAGATGCTGTTGGCGTCCTTTGCCACAAGGAACAACTAGTAATGTACTATGTATTAATCTATTGCTGTTTGAATTAAAAGCAATTCCATCAACATGTAAGTAGATGCAAACCTTCCTGAGTAACAACAGCACCTGATAAAGGAGGCCAACTTTTCTGAATGCTGACCTGTTAAGCTGAAATCTTTCAAACGGCTGTTCCCCCCCTGCTCTCCCATGTTAGTTTGTTCCTTTGTTTCAGCCCTTTAGTGTCAGTCTGTCCCTGACTCTATCAAAGAAATGCTTGGAAGTTATTGTCCTCTCTTGGGAAGGTCTGGTCCCCTTTGTTTGAAATGGGGAAAGACCTCTGTGGTGGCATTGCATTTCAGCCTGCTGTTTTCCTTATGGAAAATTCCTAAAATTTGCCAAATTGTGAGTCTCTCAAAGCAACAGTTTCAAATGATTCCAATGATTTTACTGTGTTCTTTGAGCAAAATGTGATCAAGACAGCTGGACAGGCTGGTCAATTGTATGAGTTTCAACAAGGCCAAGTGCCAGGTCCTGCATTTAGGTCACAACAACCCCAGGCAGCGCTACAGGCTTGGGGACGAGTGGCTGGAAAGCTGTCAGGCAGAAAAGGACCTGAGGGTGTTGGTTGATGGTGCAGCTGAATGTGAGTCAGCAGTGTGCTCAGGTGGCCAAGGTGACCAGTGGCATCCTGGCCTGTATCAGGAACAGTGTGGCCAGCAGGAGTAGGGCAGTGACTGTCCCCTATACTGGGCACTGGTGAGGCCGCACCTCGAGTACTGTGTTCAGTTTTGGGCTCCTCACTGCAAAAAGAACATTGAGGTGCTGGAGCGTGTCCAGAAAAGGGCAACGGAGCTGGGGAAGGGTCTGGAGAGCAATTCTTATGAGGAGTGGCTGAGGGAACTGGGGTTATTTGGCCTGGAGGAGGCTGGGGGGAGACCTGCTCGCTCTCCACAGCTCACTGGGAGGTGGGTGCTGGTCTGTTCTCCCGGGTAACTGGTGATAAGACAAGAGGAAATGGCCTCAAGTTGCATCAGGGGAGGTTTAGATTGGATATTAGGAAAAACTTCTTTAGTGAAGAAGTGGTCAGGCACTGGAACAGGCTGCCCAGGGAAGTGGTGGAGTCACCATCCCTGGAGGTGTTCAAGGAACGTGTAGATGTGTCACTTGAGGACATGGTCTGGTGGGTATGGTAGTGTTGGGTTGGTGGATGGGCTAGATGATCTTACAGGTATTTTCCAACCTTAGTGATTTTGTGATTCTGTGAAATAATGTAGGGTTTTAGAGCTAAGTGCTTGGAAATGGGAAACCGGGAAACCCCATGTTGAAGAATATCAGTGCACCTGTAATTTGATCCCTCTGTTTACATTTAGAATTGAATTCTACCGGATCTACTGGGTCACAGAGATCGTGAGTGATGCTGTACATATCATTGGAGACAAGCTTCTCGCAAATGGCCTCAATCCATGTGTTCATTTACTGATGCCCAGCTTGTTACTTCACAACCTTACTCAGCAGAGTCCCCAGGCCCGCAGCAGTGACCAAAGCCAGAAGGACTTGTCTTCTGAATGTACCAGGTACAACAAACTGTGCTTCAGGTGCCTGAAATGGGCATCATAACTCATCAAGAGTGATCGTGTTGTCCTTAATCACTCTGGGCTGAAACCTATGTCTGGGGATGTTAGATATGCCCTCCCCCAAAAGACTGTTACGAGTTTATGGAGGGATTTCACAGGAGAAATCCCTGAGGAAATGAACAGTAGTAGCATAGTACATGAAGTATCTGTCCACGGACTGAATGAAGAGTATTAGATTTTACATTGTACAACTGTTGTTCAGCACATACAGACTGAGGCAGAGACCTGGGAGATCGGACACAGGCCAGTGTTTAACTGCATGATCTTCCTGTGTGTAAGCAATATCATGGTGCAATCTGAGGCCACACTTGACAGCTCCTTACTCTCCCCTTTTAATGCTTGACAGCATCGGTACTTTCATGTTGTGAATTAGCGTGTGCTGACTTCTCCATTTCTTCCTGTTTTTATTTTATCTAACACCTTAAACACTGGGTGAGAAAGACAAATTGCGAGTTACTTTTGAGGAAAGGGGAAGGAAGGGTAGACCTATTCCTACAAAATTCTGAGTTTATTACATAGGAGTTATAACTCAGTGTGGTTTTCTGTTTTCCTGTCAAGCACACAAAAAAAAAAAGTCATTGTTGTCGAGGCAGCCGTCAGTCTGCTCTCTGTGGAAGGCTGATGAAATTCAGTTTTTCTGAAGTTCAAGGAATGGTAGACACAAAGGCAACATAGTCCTGCACACACATGATATAGTTTACACGAATGGCACCTTGCTGCTGTGGATTGTTATTTTAAAGTCATAAAAAACATTGGTTGTGGTTTCCAAATGCAGATGCTAAATACAAAAACTGCTGAATACAACACAACACAAGGCAATTCAAAGATCAGACTAGAAGTGGGGGGATCATCAATCCCAGGGAAGATAGTAAGAGTCAGGAATGTCATCAGACAATACATTTCAGGTGAAAACCATCTCAGAAACAGGGATTAGAAGAGAACTAAATAATCCTGAGATTGCTAGATGCTTTTGTTCCCTTTCCACCATGCTGTCTAGAAAATGGTCCACTATTTCCAGACAGGAAGAGTAGATGTTCTCACTGTCTCAATGCCTCTTGGCAAACTTAGCCATACAAGGCCAAGTATTTTAAGCTGCACCACACTTTTTTCTTTAGATGAGGATTTTTCATCTTGATATTGTGGCATGAGGTGAAGGTCTTGATTTTATTATTTCTGAGGGAAGAGGTGGAAAACCCTTCATTTCCTAAAGCTTTCTCTGTATGATTTTGATGAATCTTTGTGGCTTATGTTTTAAATTCAAACAATTACATGTGTGGATTCCTGAATGACAGCTCTGCTCTCAGGATATTAATGGACTTTCTGTGTTTACATTGCTTGTAAAAGAATTGGTTTAAGTTGAATTTCACTTTTTTGCTTCAGTGTAAATGTGATCCTAATCAGCACACTTCTCAAGACCTGTATATACCCCCAATGAAGTAGAAGAGCCCAGGAGGCTGTGTTTGTGATGGAATCTTTCCTATCTCCTCCCTAACATCCTTAACACCACATAATGATCCCATGAAACAGATTTTAAATTTGCAGTTTTAATTCACATTAGATCTATGCCTTTTATTCTGGGTATGTACACATGCAGCTTTTCTTAACCTGGGAATAACTGATGATCCTATGAAGGTATGCATCGTCCATGGTGGATAGTATGTTTGTAAATGATGTGAAAATACTTTAATTCCTGGAAAACCAAAAATGAATCCTCCAGCCACAGAGATCTGGGGCTGTCCCGCTTGGTGCCGCTTCTTAACTCAGTTCTCTTTCTTATTAATTCAAATGAGGTCATGGGATGTACAGCTTTTGTGATGGGAAATTTTCAGCTTCCTGCTCACTGTAACACCTGGTGGAGGGCTCTTGCTGAAGCTTTCAGATTTCACTTTCAGCAAAGACTTTAGGTCTCAAGTAAACAACATACTTAAATGAGACTTATGTTTTGTTACCATGTAACTGGTCTTTACAGATTACTCATTCTGTGACTTTTTAATGAAATTTGTAGTTACGTACATCTGGGGCAAACACATAGGAAACAGATCCTGACCTGCAACAACAGTGTGACTTTATTCCTTCAGTAGGATGTCTCCATCATACAAAAAAGAAGCGTTGGACGGATGGTTTTACTTACAAAATTCTGCTATCACTGTGTTGTTTCATTTGATGCCTGGTATACTATGATCAGTGATAGCATCTGGAAACCCTAACCTTGCTTTCCCTTTTTTTTTTTTTTAATTCTATCTTGATTCTTTCCACACCATTTCTTGAAAATTTTCTTTTGTAGAATCATAGAATGGTTTGGGTTGGAAAGACCATCTGGTTCCAACCCCCCTGCCATGGGCAGGGACACCTTCCACTAGACCAGGTTGCTCAAAGCCTCATCCAGCCTGGCCTTGAACGCTTCCAGGGATGGGGCATCCACAGCTTCTCTGGGCAACCTCTTCCAGTGCTTCACCTGTGCAGCAAATTCTCTGTGAAGAATTTCGTCCTTATACCTGATATCTGAATCTGTTCTCTTTCAGTTTAAAGCCATTACCCCTTGTCCTGTTACTACAGGCCCTAAACTATACTTCCCAGCTGTCTTGGCAAGTGCCATCTTCTGTTTCAAGAGCGGCTTCCTACTCTTCTCCCAAGAAAATCAAGCCTAGAGTGCCAAAGGACCTGTGACATTTGGGGTAGTTGATGGAATGAACGGTCAGGATCTATAGAAGGTTTCTCTAGAGAGCAGTGGTGGAAAGCATTCATTTGTTAACCTGCCTACACATACCGAAAGCTGAAGGCTTCCTATCATTTCCTTGAGAGTTTGGTTTTGTTCTCCAAGTGAAAGACTGGCATTTTTGAGGGGGTTGGGGATTGTCTTATTCTTTTGGATTTGTCTTTGGGATTTGCTGTCTTTTCTCTTGCACTTTTTCAGTTTCTAAGCTTTGTAATTTCTAGACGAATGTTGTAGCACCAGAGTTTTGGATTTGAGATCAAACACTGTATAAAATACTGTGAACAAATTTCAAATCTGATATTTTGGGTTATCTTTTATGTAGCTATGTTATTAATGATGTAGTTGTAACTATGATGTATTTACTAGTTATGAACTTTCAACCCTTGTAAACCAACATTTTATTTACTTGAAATTTCTTCCCTCCTGTTCCTCTGTTTTACAGGCAGGATGAAAGACCGGCTAAACGAGCTGCGTGAATTTGCCAAGTTACACAACCAACAGTTTTCTGCTATTGACGATGATGAAAATTCACCCCAAGATGTTCTCCTTTATGAGACTGATTATGCCTTGGAAATTCTTCATAAAGACATACAGAACATCCGGATGGAAAATGACCACCTAAAGGAGGATGTCAAACGGCTCAGAAAGCAAAACAACCGCTTCCTTACTTCCATGCGCCGCCTTAGTAGCATCAAACGAGACACCAATTGTATTGCCAGAGACATCAAGGCCCGCGGAGAAAACATCCACAGGAAGCTCCAGATAATGAGAGATTTCAGCGAAGACGCAATAACAAAATACGGGGCTATGTCTGTCATTGCCAGGGTGGCGAAGAACCACTACGTTGACCTCATGCACGCCTTTCAGGAAGCCATGTTTGAATACAATGCAACCGAGATGAACCAACGGGAGAACTGCAAGATCCGAATTCAGCGTCAGCTAGAGATCATGGGCAAAGACGTTTCTGGCAACCAGATCGAGGAGATGATTGAGCAAGGCAAGTGGGACGTCTTCTCAGAGAATCTCTTGTCGGAGGTTAAGGGGGCTCGCTCGGCCTTGAATGAGATAGAGACACGTCATAAGGAGCTGGTGAAGTTAGAAGGTCGCATTAAGGAAATTCACGAGCTCTTTCTGCAGGTAGCCCTGCTTGTGGAGGAACAGGCAGACACCTTCGACGTCATTGAGATAAATATGCAAAACGTTGAGGACTATGTAGGAGAAGCTAAAGAGCAAGTGAAAAAAGCTTTGGAATACAGAAGAAAACACCCCCTCAGAACCATCCTCTGTTGCTGCTTATCCTGTTGTAGAAGGTGACTATCCCACTGAAGCCATCACAGACCAACTCGAATGCCTTCAAAATCAGGCATTCTTTCCAGTGACTTTTCTGGTAATGACAACCCCTAGAAATGTGGGGCTATTTTGCAGTTGGTTTTGTTCATTGCCTTTTCCCTAAATATGCTGAAGGCTGTTTTATTTGAGAGTTTGTAGAAATGTTGATAAAGGTACTTTTAACCTATTTTTAATTGAACTGTACTCTGTCGCTGTAACTAGGGGTACAGGAAGATCTGTGCAATGATACTTGTTTAAGATAGGCGAGAAAGAGGAATGAATGATGGGCTGATAACTCAGCTTAGAGAAGATGAGAAATTTCAAGAAGTAACTTTATTCTTGTTTGTCAGAGTGAGTCTGCAGGCGGTGCAGCCTTGCCGCCTGGGGTGACACAATACACCGCAGAATGCAGAGGTTTCAATTCTAACTAGTCTGGAGCCTGCCTGATGCAAATACTTGAACAGATTTTTGCTCTGTTCATTTGAGTAAATACTGAACCTGTTAGCAGGAGCAGGACACAGAATTAGTTTCCATTTCAACTTGATTTCCGTCTGTCACGAATCTGAACAGAAGTGATGGCACCTTAAATTATAATATTCACGTTTTGCTCTGTTTGAGTGCGACTGCTTTTCTCCTTTGTGAGTACCTGCAACCTTGTCAAGGTGGCTAGAAGCACCGCACCACTGAGGCATCGCACTGACTTAACCTGAGCCACTCCCTGTACTCTTAATTTCAAAACTGCCGAGCTTTTATGTTTCTAATGCATTTTTCTGCCAATTAACACTTCAGCCAGAAAAGATGCATGCAGTGGCCTTCTGCAGAAGACCCATAAGAAGACAACAGTTGGGGTTCAGGAAAGCATTTTAGGGTCTCCTGTGCTGGCACATACACACAAGCAGTTTTAGTGTAAGGATTATCCTATCAATAAGCTTTTATTTTTTTATAAGCATTGATTTAATGTGGAATTTTTAATATATATTTTAAATAACGTGAAGGATTAAGTTTATTAACATTCCATGTTACTGTACAAAAACAATGTGTACAAAACCCTAAGGCTTTTCTCCCATTATTAGGAAAGCTCCATCTGGGAAAGAAAATAAGACATATTTCTTCAGTACACCTGAAGAAGAAAGAAAACATTTTAATGTCATTTCAGTGCTCTTTTCTATCTTAAAAATAATCTCTCCTTTTGTGTAAGGGGAGTCTGCCCACAGTAGGTTTGGAATATGAGGAGGGAATACAGAATTTGAAGCCGTGGAAACCACTGAGCATTGTCAGTGAAGCATGTATTCATAAGGTCTGGGGAATGAGAATAGCTCCTACTTCTGGAGGTTTTCCAACTATAATATTTCTACGTGCCTTCCTGATACACTGTGATCTATTGCTATCGTTTGAATTAATGCAGGACATTTTTTCAGAAGTTAGTGACTTTTTTTAAAAGACCTCTGATCCTATTTGTACCTCTTTTAATAAATATATTTAAACATTTCAAATATTTTGCATTTGGGAGTTTTCCTCCAGAGATGCACATAGACATCTTCCTGCACCAATCATAATGAAACATTTCCCTTCTGATCTTTTGCACACTAATTTTATATGTGAAAAGCACCCCTGCATTTCTTACTGTTCATATTGATATAACAAAACAGCAAGATAAATTCAACCTCCAAGCTTTCATATCCTAGTGGGAAATGCTTCTTAGCCAGACAGGTGTTTTTACACAAATGGAAGCTAAATGGATAACTCCTCTCAGAAACTGAAAGTCTCTTTTGCTGAAGAACCTGTCTGCGATAACGTGGAAGAGTGGGGAACACTGGTCTTCTAAACTAGAAGGTATTTTGATATTCAATGATGTCCCGATGATATCAGTATTAATGCTTGCTCGAGGACCTCTCCAACTACCCAGTGTTCAAACTTGGAGTGGGGGAAAGGGAGGTGTTGAGCTGGCACCATTACCAGTAGCTTTGGTGCTACTCGAGAAGACAAAGTCGCTTACTCCCTAGGTGCTGCCATTCAAGGCAGCGGAACTGTGCCTTTGGAGGGAAGTACCCTAAACTCCGAGGGTCAGCATGTGGGCATAAATCCATGAGGAACAGAATATGTATTTCATTTCATCTGCATATTCTTAGCACTTACCAATGCTTTTGATAAAAATGTGTACATGGGTTTTTTTGTTAGTTTCTCTTTTGCACATATGTATGTCTACAAATGGAATAAAACATTTAATAAGAAGAACTGAAAGTGCAGAGTGTTGTACATTGAATCAGCAGCTCTGAAGTTTCTTGCATGGCCAAAGTTTAGTTTGAAAGCTGCTGGACTGAAGTCCGAGTTGGTGAAAAGAGATAAAACAATGCCTGGAAGAAAAAAAAAAAGTCCTAATATTTGCTGCTACAATAAATCAGATGTGTTGCATGTTGAGATAGACTTCCCACAATTTTTCTTACAAAGAGTTTCATACATTCTGAGATGATTCTCTACTGCAAGAAAAAATATAAATTTACTCTGGCATTGATGATTTCATTAGCAGAAATGTAAAGCTTATGTTCAAATCTTTACTCTGATTTGAGGCACAGGGAAAGGGAGCAAAAGCATGAAGGAAAAGTACTTGGAGACCTCGTCTCTTGCCTGAAGGCTGTTGCTGCAGGGAACAAGCTGAGAATCACTGAAAGCCCAGCTTGGCACCCTTTAAAACTATTTTTAAGTTGCATCGTGAATTAGAGGCACTTTAAAAATTACTTCCAGTAACTGAAGAAATCATTCTCTTCCTTGCAAACATGTGTTCATTGCTTAACACTGCGGGTTTTTTCTATCCTTGTTGTGTAAGGACTCAAATTTTGCCAGCCCGTGAACTGCCTAGTCACAGTTACGTAGGTTTCTGAAAAAAATGGTCACACTATGGTTGCAAAGACTCATGCCACACAGGATAAGTGGAAGAAGATGATAAGAGTAGCTTGATAATATGTTAGCGTAGTAGTAACAGGAGCCGCAGAATGGATATCTTCATGCTTGCTAAGGAAAGCTGCCTTTTCATCCCGAAAGTCAACAGGGCTCCTGTGGAGATGTACATAGCATATTCTATGGGTTGGGTTGGTTTGTTTTTTCCCCTGATGTGGCTAACCCTATAGCTGGGTTTGAGGGGGAAGTAGTTGAAATGTGAGGGAGGGGCTGCTTTAGCCTAATCCTTTAGCCTTAGGATTGCTGGTACTAGGGTTTTGCTTCCTACTGGAAGCAGCAGAAACTTCCCAAAAAAATCCCTCCTATGAATGTCAGCCCTTTCTGAGGAGTAGAGGAGAATTGGGAACCAGGCTCCTTCCCTAAATGTAAAAAAAAAAAAAAAAAAAGCATAAATATGAAAGAAAAAAAATTCCCCTATTACAAAGTATAATGTTTGGTATAGAATGCAGAACATCCTGGATATGTGTATGACCCTGAGCCTCCATTTCATCTTACGAGATTTGGGGTTTTTTTTTTGAAACATGGATCTCATTTTAGAGAAATGGCAGTTGAACCCTTCCTACCTCAGTGCAAAGGAGTCAGACTGGATGCAGTTGAGCAGGCATCTCTCGGGCACATGTCTTGGGAGAAACTTCTAGAAAATATAGCTCTTAGTTTAAGACCCAGATACCTTTTTTTTTTAAGGAGAAAACCTGAGGCTGGACTGAGTAGCTAAGCTAAATTACTGCTTTTCTAATCTAAGGAGGCCAATCTACATTAAGGATGTTTTGAATGCACAACCTGAGTAGTATTTTATAATTTCTTGAAAACAAAACAGGTTCTCTAGATTTTTCAACCATGGTAGATACTCGGAAATGATTTGAGAAAGGAAAGAGCTACACACGGTTGTGTTTCCATCTCTACAAAAATATCACAGATACGATGAAGGCAGGAAACAGTATAATTTAATAGATACTGTGTGCGGTGGTTACATTTAATCTACTTCCGAAGCAATGCGATTTTCACACGAAGCCCATGGTATTGTTTTTATCTGTGAGAAGGCAGATCTATCGTCTTCCACGTTTGCAGCGTATTGCACAGTAACTCTGTAACAGCTGAGCTGCAGCCAGTAACAGCCAGTGTAAGACAGCTCCACCGTCATACAGTACAGTGCCTGCACTATGAGGGCACAAAGTCTTAACAGGAGAGAGTAACATCTTACTGTGTTTCTGAGAGACAATGTTACAAGTGAATAGGGAATGAGATACCCTGCCTGATGGGATCTTTCCACTCAATACCTTGGCTAAAAGGCGCAGCCCTACTGAATGGGGAGCAATGCTGGCTATGGTATGATGCCCATTTCATGCCAATGATACATCATGGTAATCACGGAATCATAGAATGGGTTGGGATGGAAGGGACCTTTCAAGGTCATCTAGTCCAACGCCCCTGCAGTGAGCAGGGACACCTTCAGCTAGGTCAGGTTGCTCAGAGCCCCGTCCAGCCTGACCTTGTGTAGTTCCAGGGATGGGGCATCTACCACCTCTCCGGCCAACCTGTTCCAGTGCCTCACCACCCTTGTAGTAAAAAAATTCTTCCTTTATTCTAAATCTACCCTCTTTTATAGTAAAAAAATTCTTCCTTTAATCTAAATCTACCCTCTTTTAGTTTAAAACCATCATCCCTTGCCTTATTGCAACAGGCCCTGTTAAAAAGTTTGTCCTCCTTAAATACTGAAAGGCCACAATAAGGTCTCCCTGGAGCCTTCTTTTCTCCAGGCTGAAGTTCCAGCCAAAGAGCTGCTTTTTCACTCATGGGCTCCCATGCGTGAATAAAACTAAGGAGGGTGCAAGTTTCACATCTGTTCTGCACATTTGTAAAATGTTAACAATCAACTGTCATTCTGTGCGAGAAGTATTTTCCTTCACAAGCATGCCCAGGGTACTGGGGGGTCTCTGAGCACTAACCGCTGAAAAATTGAGGCCCAGACTCCTCCGAAAGGGCCACCTACAACCAGGGTGTCTAACAACGAAGCAGGGTATGTGCTCCTG